GAGACAGAAGCAGAGATACAAAAAGCAGCTGTAGATCAACATTTCTACCTGGTTTGAACAGAGTGAGTTGATCGTTAAATAATTGTTAAATGTGACACCATGTTGCCGCCTGTCTTTGCAGAACTACGTGACGTGTGCTTTGGGGATCCACTATGTTGGCTTTGTGATGATGTGTTTCGGAGCGGCCAATTCCCTCTGCTCCTTTCTGTTTGGGAGGATCGCTCGGTACATCGGGAGAGCTACGCTCTTCTTCTTTGGTAAAACTTCTCTTCAAATTTGTAAAAATTACTTTTTTTTATCATCAGTGTTTTTTTTATGTAACAAGTCAAAGCCTGTTATTTCATGAAGGCTTTGTTTGCAGCCGCTGCGGCCAACTTGTCCTGCATCATCGCTCTCCTGCTCTGGAGGCCTCACCCTGATCAGCTGCCCGTCTTTTTTGTGTTTCCCGCCCTTTGGGGCATGGCGGACGCCATCTGGCAAACTCAGACTAACGGTAAGGAAAACCCTGAAACGTCTCTTTGCTTTTGGAAAGCAGGAGGAGGAACCTCCAGAACTTCTTTAGTTTTTTTTAATGTTTTTTAATGCATAGATTTCCATGTGCATAGTATATTTATTTTTTGAAATCTCTCACTTATTTGACCCAAATATGTTATTTTACAGACATGTCCAGCATTATTATCTTATGGTGTAAATTTGCCCTAAGTATATATTCTTTCATTCCTTTATAGTTGTCTCTGATAGACCTTAGGACTAAAACAATAAATTGGATTAATCGTGATTAATTGATTATTGAAATAATCAACTAATTGGTAACTGGAGTATAGAGACTGTAAAATATGCCATTAGCTGACTGAGAAACCCACTTAGAGCAGTAATTATATAAAAATTGTAAAAAAATATATATAAACAGGTTGCATTTAAGATAAAAAAAATAAAGTTTTTCTTCTGTCAGTTTGCTCTATTCAGAACTCAAGTGAAAAAGTTTTAGTTACACCTGGTATAGTTTCGTAAAACAATAAACTTCTTTGGCTTTCCGATTATTAATTGATTACTTGACAGATTAATCGATTTTCAAAAAAAAGGAGTTAGTTGCAGCCATAGTGAACCTAAATATCCTCTTTAAAGAGCAATAAAAAATATTTTTATTTCTATAAATATTTTCCACAAATTTTTGTTCGTTATTAACCTGCAGTTATTTGACATTATTAAATTCTGTAATAAAAAAATCTTTGCAGAAACAAAATTTAAGGTGAAACAAGTGGCGTTGGAAGCATTTCATTTGACTTTGTTCTATTGAGGTTCTAATTTCATATTTCTAGTACAAAACCTTTAACTATGATATTAACAATCTTTGCAGAGATAATCTGTTCACACATAGGAATCAGTGCAAGTGGACATAAACTTCCAAAAATGTAATTTATTTAGGTCTGTGACAGAGCTTCCTCTGTCCGCCGTCGCCTCACCACCATCACTGATCTGTTACAGCTGATCCAGACTCTGTCCTGGCAGAAGTCCACTCCTGATAAACTCATAACATCACAGGACAGGCTGAGACGAGCCCCCTGCTCTTCTTTTATCTTCTGCTGCCTTGAACAGCTGCTTTAAAAGCTGTTATGAGCAACAAGCTCAGTTTGTGCTCTTACAAGGCTACTTTAATTATGTTATGTCAAACTTGGGGAGTGGTGTCCTAGAGGTCAGGGCATTGTGGTTGGGTCTCAGAGGTTCTAAGTTCAAGCCCCACTCCCATTGACTGCCACTCTGGGTTCCTGAGAAAGACCCTTAACCCCACACTGCTCCCCGGGCGCTGCACAATGGCAGCCCGCTGCTCCCCAAGGGGATGGGTTAAATGCAAGGTTAAATTCTCCAATGTGAGATCAATAAAGTTCAATTATTATTATTATTATTAAAATTTATATGCGGACAATGTCCTCTTGTACGTGTCCGATCCTCTCACATCCGTTCCACATATCCTCAAAGGTTTTGAGAGATTTTCAGGATATACTGCAAAAATGATCTAGAAATAAGTAAACATTTCTTAAATGTATTTTCCCCTAATTTTACTA